TTTTTTTTTTTTTGAAAGAATCACCTGTGTATTTATACTAAAACAATTATTCACCTCAGGCTCAGTTATTATCGGGAATGATAACCTCAACTCTGTTTCGGTTATTATTCCCCAATTTTTCACTTCGCCTTCGGCGAATAATTGTTAAAATATTTCTTTTAAATTTTATTTACTTTAAAATTTTCGCAGCTTTAGAAAAACTGGCAAATAAAGTTCACATCCTAGACGGCGAAGAATTAAAGATTGAGCCCTATTACGCATTCCTGGAACAAGAACTTTGTACCAAGAAGATCGACGTCCATCCAGAAATTATGACTTACATCAAAGCATATCATGAAAAGGACCTGCAAACTGTCTTGGATGAGAATTCACTTGAATTGCAGTTGCTACCGAATGAAACGTCGGTATTGATCGCGCAAAGGAAATCCGCAGTGAGTAACGAAATAGCAACTGTAGAAGGGAATAGGGTCGCAAACGTACTAAACTTTTTGGCAGACTTTGAGCACAAAACTTTTACAGTGGAAAGTAATTCGTTCGAGGAAGTTGCAGAGGGCCTGCAAAAGAAAATCGACAAGAGTGACTCAAGAAAGTTTGATTTGTCTTTGGATCCACCACGGCTTGCTGTTAAAATTGTTGGCAAGAAGCAATTCACTCTAAATGTCGTAAAGGAAATTGGGATGTTCATTGAAGAGGTGACAGAGGAAAGGCGCCTTAAAGATTCTGTAGTTACACATATAGAGCCTGACCTAAGCAGTGCACAACTGGCTGTGATCAAGATATCTAATCTTGTGGATCATCTTCAAGAGTCATATAAATACACTTGCATAAACATTGATGATGAGAATGGTAAAGTGATCATAGATTGTCCTCAAAATAAGATTCAAGAAGTAACAGCCGAAGTCTTGAGGTTTCTTACAAAGGTAGACAAGGAAATTGTGGTGTTATCGGAGCGAGTCTTGGAAGTGTTTTGTTCCGATAAGGGAAAAGAGTACGTGAGGAATGCCTTGAAAGAGGAAAACCTACAAGCAGTGTTAATGGTAAATGATAAACAAAAAGGTGAAAAAGTAGGAACGGTTTATGCTGTGAACAGCGACCACTGTAGAAAGGCTGTCAAACTTATTCACTCATTTTCACAGGAAAAACCTATAAGGCTTAAAGATGAAAGCATGCAAGTGGTCAAAAAACGCAATTGGAAAGATCTTATTGCTAAACAACAGGATGAGTTTGTTGTTCACATCTTGCTCGATAAAACCCATGCAACTCTATGGGTAAGTGGTGTTGAACAAGACGTTATGAAGTGCAGTGAGATTGTGAAGGAGCACTTAGATAAATACACAATTTTGTACGATTCTGTAGACATTTCACTGGGTGACTTGAAATTTCTATTCAACGTTTGGAAAGATAAAGTGAAGAAAGTCAAGGAAGGATTAAAGGAATCATTCGTAAGAATAGAACCTAACTACAAGGAGATGAAAATCGAAATTTTTGGGAATCAATATGGAATCAAAAATGGGAAACAAAAGTTGTTGGCCTACGTAAAACGAATCTGCCATCAGGAGGTGATAGTCGAGAAACCTGGAATGGCAAAGTTCTTCAAATCAAATCAGGGCTCAAACCAAATCAAAATGGTCGAGAAGGACCACAGTTGCACAATTGAGGTGATGGAAGGTCAGGATGAGCTTACATCTCAAGGAACTTCCATTCCGCCTGAAGACTTAAACGTCATATGTAGTAAAACGACTCCTCAAGGAAAGACTCTTTCAGTTTGTAAAGACGATCTCACAAAGCATCCTGCGGATGTTATAGTCAATGCAGCTAATGAGCAGCTACAACATAGTGGAGGCCTTGCTGGAGCAATAGTGCGAGTTGGTGGGCGGCAAATACAGCAAGAATGTGATGAATATATTAAGGAAAATGGGAGTCTTCCAACAGGTGAGGCTATTGACACAGATTCTGGTAAACTACCTTGCAAACGAATCGTTCACGCCGTCGGTCCTCGCTGGAGTAGAGCTGCTAGCCAACGACATGCACAAGGACAAACAACAAATGAAGAGAAACTACTGTATTCAGCAATCCAGAACAGCCTTTTGCTTGCTAAAGACTACCAATCTATAGCAATACCAGCTGTTAGCTCAGGAATCTATGGTGTCCCAGTTATCGTGTGTGCAAAGAAGATCATTCAATCGGTAATTGACTTCTTTCAACGTCATCCGCATTGCAAGCTATCAGATGTTCGCTTCACGAATAACGACGATCCGACGGTAAACGCGTTTGAAAATGAAATTAATAGAGTATTTGGCGATGAAGATGAGAATACCGAGTGGAGCCTTACACCTAAATCTAACTCTGAGCCAGAAAAGACGGAAAACTTAACAGTTCCCACTCCGACGCCGCCCGTTTCGAACAATTCAGCATTCTTGACTCTGCAAGGAATATCCATTTCTGTAAAGGTTGGAGACATTTCTCAAGAAAATGTAAGTAAAGTCAAAACTTTTTAATTTAAGAAGCATGAATTATCCCAAAGTTATAGCTAGTTCTCCTTCAAACCGAAGGCCGCCCGAGAATTGATTTAGGTTCGAGGGTTTAAGGGTGGCGTAGCGGTCGTATACTCTCCTCTCGTCTCTGCGATATATCTCGGATTCGATCCCTGAACTTGGCACCAAATGTGAGTAGAGCTAGTTGGGTCTTTCCCTTGATTCCAGGGGTTTTCTCTGGGTTCTCCAATTTTCCTCCCTTCACAAAAACCTAACAAGCTGAATTCTAATTCTGTGAATTAGCTGTACCCCGACTTTGATCAGCCCAGAGGTTGTTTCAGGGTGTGATCTGTGAGTTAACCATGCCCTGA